TTCCCGATCCCCGTCGGCGGTTGAGGGGCACACGCTCGCCAGGCACACACCCGGAGATCTCAGCGCGTTCCCGTTCGCTCCTTTCCCTTCGTCAGACTGGGCCGCGAGGCGCCGCGCCCGGACGCGGCCCGTACGCGTTATTGCACGGCACACACTCGCTCATAACAGTACGGCGATAACGCCATTTGTGCGCGGAGTCCACATTTGCCCACAATTGCCCGCGATACGGTACACGACTGGCCAGACAAGCTGGCAAGCCAGGCTGACGGCGCCGACCACGCGCGCCACTACGCACAGCTGACGGAGGAATGCGGCCGCGAGCGCCGACCAATGGCGACGCGCGCAGCTCCCCCCACCATTCACTCGATGCGGCGAGGCGGCTTGCCACTGACGCGGTTTTTTTAAAATTGTCCACAGCACGGAACAAAGGTTCTGTGACATGTATTGGGCAAAGTTGGAAAAAATTATGTTTTAAACATGCTTTAAATGTTTAAAACATGCTTGACTGATGTTTTTAACATGTTTTAAACATGTTTTTTTATAGTATTATTTAAAACATGTATGAAGCATAAAGATAGTTTTACTTTAAAAAACACAATGTTTTGTTTTATAAAAAAAAGCAAAAAATAAGTTTTGATTGGAATTCACTCTAAATAATTCCATAATACTAGTAGCTAGTAATATTTAAGATTACATAAGAGTAATATTTTTTTCCACCTAAGGAATGTATGGTATATCGTACGATAGTCATAGTTACAAAATTATTTATTTAGAGATGATACGTTATCTCAAGATATCTTTGCAATCTTTATAATTCAATCTTCAAGTAATAGACAATTAGTTGTAAGCAATTCGTAGTAGCGAACAGTACATTAACGAAAATGGCTCAAACGCGACCCGCGTGTCATAGTATTCACATTTAAATTTATCACTGTCTAGTTCTATGCAAAACTGTGTCATCCATTCGGATAAGAGATTCGCACAGAATTAGACAGTGATCAATTTAAATGTGAATGCTGTAATGACGATTTCACCTATCATTATAATGGTATGAGAAACCATTTATCAAAAAAATATATGTTTTTTGACGAAGAAAAAAGAAGATGAATTATTAAATAGTTTTCAAAAGGAAACACATCATCGAGTTAATTTCTAACTATTATATTATGACAATTATTAGCATGATAATATTTTTCAATACAGTAAAAATTGCAAAACAATAAAAGATTGATGCGAAAAATAAAATTTTGATATAAGAAATTCATATTTTAAATATGATCGTATTTCTGATATATGATGTTTTTTGACATTTATTCAAAAAACATCACATAACGGAAATACGTTCTTACATAAAACATAAATTTCTTGTATCAATTTATCATTTGGCTGGAAAATATTATGTTGGAAAATGTCATAATGCTAATTGTCACAACGTAATAGTTAAACCTCTGATCTGTGTTACACCTCTCTCATATGCTTGTTATGCACACGCTGATTATTTAATTGCCTTAAAACAAGCATATGTTTTAATGTTGGTTTCCGAACAGTGGATTTTTCGAGAGGTGTTTCTGTAGACAAAGATACTCTCGGGAGGTTGCCGGCCTTTTCCGAGAGGAAACATGAGCGTAAATATTTTAGTTCTTACTGGGATTGAACCCGGAATCTCTGGCATGGTAAACCAGTGCGCCGTCTGCCACGCGCTCACAAATTATATAATAATATGTATAATTATATTATATATATATAATTTTATATATGTAAGTTTATATATAATTATATACAAATATATACAATTATATATAAAATATGTCCATTTATACAATTTATTTTAATTATATAAAATTATATATATTTTTATATAATTTATATGTATAAAACATTTTTTCCTGGATATTCATTCATATCTAAGATACACCGGAATATAATTAGTAAGTGCTTATAAAGAAATAATTAATTTCTCATTAGTAAATTATTTTTTACCAATTAGTCATTAAAAGATCTAAAGAATCTAATTTATATGAATCGACGAATTTTATACGCGAATAATTTCAAGAAAACAATAATCTACGCATTTTTATAAAAAGACTAATCGGAAATGTTAAGTAAAAATTTTTTTGAAAAAGGCTGCTTATTGTTAATTAACAAATCTAGTAATGCAACTATCTATTTTTTCATCTCAAAAATATATCAAGTTGATATTTTATCCTTGTCATTACATTTTGTTAACAATTATAATAAAAGAGCTATAAAAATTAATATTTCTATAACAGACACAAACGGTTAACAAATGCATTTTTTTGATAGGACAAATATGTGTAATTATTGTATCTATTTGTGTTACACAGAGAATTTATTTTTAGAATTCCATGTCCCAGCCAGAAAATTCATCCGGTGGAATATCGCGGTCAGGTGGATATCTTTCAAAGTTTCGTGTATCGAGTTGATGTCGTACCTAGAAATAAAATAGATAATTTTAATACCAATTTTAAATAAAATTTTTGCATAAAAAATAAAAAAATTGAAAGTGTGTTTTATTTACAAATCCTATTGATAAAAAGTATAAAATTTGCAAAAGTAATATACCGTTGGTACAATGGGAGCCGGTAGAGCCAATCTTTGAAGCGCTTGCCAGTTAAATCCGGAAAACCATCTAAAAGGACAAAAATATAAATTATTATAAAGGAAAAAGTAAAACATAGGCTATTTAAAATTTATGTATAACTAAATATATATTTGTATAACTGAGAAATTAAAAATTATATAATACAAAAAAAAACAAAATGGAAACCCATGTTACCATCTTTTTTCTATTTTATATTAGGTGTTGGAATTAATTCGTAGCGTTTTACAAGTGATGGGAAGTACTTTCATTAATGTATTTTTTAATGCTCATGTGAAATAAATAACATTCTTTCATTAAAAAACGCTACGAATTAATTCCAACACCTAATATTATATTGGAAAGCATCTTATTTTATAAAATAAAAAATATCTTCTACAAAATGCTTTCTCACAAAGATATTTAAACATGAAATGTTTCTTAAAGGTGTTATTATTATACGTATATAATATAATTTATGAAATGTTTTTAAAAATATAAATATTTTTTCTCTTCTTTGTAAAATCTTTCTGACGACTTACTTGTGATCGCGAATATCTTGTATTCCGTTTCGCTGGTAACCCAATCGTTCGGAAGCGTTCAAACGGAGTAGTTTCTTGATGAGATTATTGGCGTTTTTGTTGACGATGTTTGGTATACTAACCATTTCGATTCCCTTGAGAATATTATTATAAGTCGTCATATGATCGGATCCTCGGAAAGGCGGCTTACCAATGAGAAGCTCATGAGTTAGAATACCGAGAGCCCAATAATCCACCGCTCTAACGAAATGAAGAATTAAATGCGATGGAAAAAATATATAGAAAAATATATAGAGACAATAATATGTAAATATAGAAAAACATAGAAACAATATAACAATTATAATGAATGTTAGAACAATCTTAAATTTCTTACCTGTCATGGCCTTTATTCAAAATAATTTCCGGTGCGACATATTCTGGCGTACCGGCAAATGTCCACGTTTTGGCCGGACCAATTTTCTTACTAAAACCAAAGTCCACCTATGGAAGAGAGTTAATTTTTTTTCTTGTAGAATTTCTCATTCTCACAATCGGGCCCGCTGCAATAAGCAGGTGTGTAAATTATATACAACACAATAAAAAAACATTAACAAAGAAAGCGCTAAATTAAGTTTTAAAAAGATCAATTCTCCATAACCAATTGCATATGCTTGCTTCTGTTAAATTTAATTTTTTCCAAAATTTGTACTGTACATCACCAACCGTTGGAATAAATAATTGTTTATTTCCTGATGCTATTAAAATCTTTCAGTATATTCAGAGCCATTATATTCAGTACATACAAAATCATTTTAGCATCAGGATATCGATTGTTTTCCTAGAATAGAAACGTGAAAATTTTCTCTATTAATTTCAATAGTAAACAAAATTTTTATCTTTCAGATTTCTGTTCTAGTTACATAATCAAATTTCATCCTCTATAAAAAGATATTTAGAAAATTTTTTAAAGACTATCCTATTCATAAGATTGTAAATAGAAACATTAAGAGGGACAGCAAACTCTCCTTTGCGCCTTATATTTCATAGCATATTTCAGCAGCAGGCCCGATATAATAATCTCTAAATGTATATTTTAAAGAAACTTTAATAATCGCGTAATTGGAAGTTAAGTTATTATAATTAAAAATCAAGTGTCTCACCAATTTTAAATAGCCACGTGTATCGAGCATAAGATTTTCCGGTTTGAGATCTCGATAAACAATGTTTAGTGAGTGAAGATGATCGAGGGCTTCTACTACACAGCCCACCATAAACTGTGTAGTGGTGTCATCGAAAAGACGTCTCCTTTGAAGAGTTGTCCAAACATCTCCGCCGAGACATACTTCCATAAGAAAATAGACATACTTGCTATCTTTGTACGTTTGATAAAGCCTTAAAAAATGCGAAAGTATATTAACTTTGGTTTAATTAATATTGTTTAAAAATTCTTTCGTTATACTTGATTTAACTTTATTAGTCAATTATTTTTTTGTTTACATATTTTTATTAATCTTGATGTCGACATTACAAATTTTATGATGTTAGTTGTTTTTACAGTTTATCAATAATTAAGAAACAGAAATAAATTAAAATATATTTATCTTATATTAATTTCAAATATCATTTTATATCAGCAATGGTAGTTTCATAATATTACAAGTTAATCGTGATTGTAATATAAAATTTCAGTGAAAGATAACTTACTTGCATATAAAAGGAGAATCGCATGCTTGCATAATATGTTTCTCATTCAGCACATGCTCTTGCTGTTGTTGCTCGACCATGACCTTCTTCTTAAGTTTCTTCAGAGCGAAGCTCTTATTCGGGTTGGATCTGAGTGTCACCAATTCGA